CCCCGCGCGCGCTGACCGGCCTCGGCCCGGCCCCCCACCGTGGCGTACGGGCTCAGTCGCCCTCACACCGCCAGCAAACCCGGGTGTGCGCGCGCGTGCGTCTCGTGCATGTGGTTACGTGTGACGACGCCGACGACACCAAGCAGTACGTACGCGCCGTGTGTGCCCCCCGTGCGCCCCGCGCCCTCCGCGCCGTGCCGGGCGAGGACAGCCCCGCCCGCGTCAGTACCGCCCCGCGCCGCCCCGCGCCGCCCCGCGCCGTGCACTGCGCCCCGCGCCCCACCTGTGGCTGTGCCGCTGCAGCGGCTGTACGCGCGGCCGGGGGTCATGGCCGAGAGCGCGAAGGGATAGTGAGAGCGTGGTGACCCGCGCCACCCCGCGCCACCCCGCGCCGAGCATCGACTTCATCGGCTGTGACAGTGTGTGGTGCAAGCACGTTAGGGAGTGGAGCCGAGTGGTGTTGTCGTGAAAGCAGTGCCAACAACATTAGGATCCTTCTGCTTCCGCACAAACACGTCGAGTGCAGCGAGTGAACACGACAGCGACGACAACAACAACCACAACAACAACAGCAGCAGCAGCAGCAGCAAGGAGGTACAGCAGCTCGGGGACTTGCTGCTGCCGCTGCGCCTCACACCCCCCATGCTTCTGCTGGACGGTAAGTGCATCCCCGCCCGACTCAAGCAAAGTGATTCATCCGATTTGGGTTCTGGGTCGTTTTTTGACAGCAGAGGGTGGTGAGGACTTTAAACTGACGTTGATCAGATCAAGATTAACCGCTCAATAACGCGACTCGTTGCGCGGCGTTTTCGTGAGCGCAGGGTGCGGCGGTTGGGGGGGGGGGAGGATCGCGGGTAATCAGAGACTCCGGGATTAGCAGCACGACGCGCACGTGAGGAGCGGCAGGTGGGGGGCTCACGCGGAACGCTTCCGCGGGACGCGCTGTCCGGCACGTCGCCAGTAACATTCGGCCCCGCAGGATGTGACCGCCAGGTCCGCGTCGAGCAAAGGGGAGGACCAGTGCGGTGGGGGACCTGCAGCCCGCCGCCGCCCGCCGCCGAGGCCGATAGTCACTTCGATCACGCACCCCGCCGCGGCGCCAACGTCGACGCCGACCGGTCCCGCCGCTATGGGCTGTCGTCGAGGACGGTGTTGATGTTGATCGACAAGCAGCCAAGTCCGGGAAAGTTGGAAGGAAAAGCAAGCGGGGCCTTGAAACTTTGGGCCCG